CAACTGCATTTCTGCCAGTGAGTACCCACTAGAGGGAGTCGCTGGTTCACGCATTAAATCCCAGCTGGTAAACGATCAACATCAAAATGCGACTCCTCTGGAACCGTCACAGCTACAGAAAATACTAGCGTAGTTAAATCAAAACCCTGAAGTTCAGGAAGAAGACAATACAAAGAAGTGGCATTACAGTGCTCTTTAGAAAAACAAAAGAGGGGCCACAGGTATTTAGCCGTTCAAGGAGTGCTTCTCATACACTGATAACCCAAAAGAGTTTTGCCAATGGACACTCTCACAGAGACCCTGATACACCTGTTCTGGCTATAATCTGGAAATTTTACAGAAGCAAAAAAATTTTGTGCAAATTAATATAAAATAGGAATTATAGTATTTTTTGTTTTATTTCCTCTCCCATTATATCAGGGGCAACATTACTGAGGCATGGGATAAATTGGGAGTTTTCTATGTACAAAATTCAAACAAATTTTGTACAAAATTTTCTATGTACAAAATTCAAACAATTATATCCCAAGGCTGAAACCTCAAGGGTTCTTAATACTTCTGGCAAGGGAAAAAGACAAAAGGAAAATAAGGGACATAGAATTACCATTTATTTTTCTACAGTCCTTAACACTGTTTATCAGTAATTGCTTTATCATGCAGATCATAAGTGAAAAGGCACTTTTGAAATCCTGAGATAAAAAGAAACCTAATTCTAATTACTAAAGATCATTTATCACAGGCAGTATGTAAATGTTATCGCACTGACAAAACCCTGAGGCCCTCACGCAGCTAAAACATCTGAGTGACCAATTCCTTTATATGAAATTTCTTGTTGAAACTGTAGAATCAACAGTGGTTAAAAACAAGAGAGACATCAAATTATATACCACTCAAAATAGCAACATATTATTTTTCTGTATGCTTTCTACAGCCAAAGATTTCACTTCATTCTTTAACACCTATACTTTGAGAAGAAATAGCAGACAAAAACCACAAATACAGATGCCTGCTGTATTTCAACTTACATCAGATCTCAACACAGACTTCAAACAGGAAATGTGCCGTGGAAGTTCTCTCCTGCAACATACCTGGTAAATGGGTCTTGGAGATTTTGAGCAAGAGCTGGAAATCCGAGAAAAATCCCCATCAGACAGTAGTACTTGAAGCTTAATGTCTATCTCATTTAGTCGATGAAATTCCATTGGTTCAGGTGTGTACCCTTCTCCCGGTGCTAGCCAGCCAGATACTTCCTCCTATCGAAAAACAGAAAATATTTAATCATCATTCTCAAAGGAAACAGACTTTAAATGCAGTTATGCATCAAGCGTATTTTTTTTCAAATAAGCTGTACTTCAGAATAAAGTCTAAGTTTCCATCCATCTCAGCATATAGCTGAAATCTGCCAAACATTCATGTATCTGGCACACTCATAAGCCAATATGGTTTCAGAACAATTAAGGCATGTATTTTTCACTTTTAAATACAGTCACGCAGCAACTTAAAAAAAATATACTGAAATTTAATTTTATTTTTAGAAAGCACATGCAATTACATGCATTGTTAAAATGTAACGGCAAAAAATGTGTTGTGTTCACCTAAACAGATTTATGCCACTTTTATACTTATTTCTACAAAAGTCCAAATCCTTTGTCTTCACTGGCTAGCCACTCAGAAGCCCTTGAAATAAAACTGCTTAAAACCAGATGCTTTGCCTTGAAATAAAATTGCTTAAAGCCAGATGCTTTGCCTCCCTGCCAGCCAGCCAAGGAGCAATCAGGCAGCTCCCAAGTTCCGCATTCATTCTTCTGAAAGTTATACAACCCTGTTGATCAAGTTCACTGACACCCAAGAGAAGAGCTTTGGACAGCTGATCTGTCTTGAAAGAATAATGGCTTGTCATGGTCTAACTTGCATATAAGTCTTGCTATTCAGTACCACATAGTAAACACCACTTTCTGATGCCACTTACATGAAAATCAATTTAGGAGCATTGCACTCCTTTGCAAGAGGATAGAGATGAAGAGCAAAAATGTCTGGCAGATGTAGATCCACCAGTTCTAAGAGAGGAAACACAACAAACGTGGTATAAGCTCACATTTTCAAAGCTAATATTGAAGTGGAAAAGCACAACCCTAAAACTACACTAGAACTGTCCTCAACATCATCCTAAATCATGTCTGTTATGCCTTCTCAGCACTCTTTGTTTACACACTTGTTCTGGACACAGCTTAAGTCCAAGGAACTGTACAGTTGGCCATACAGCAAACAAGAGAACAAGGTATGTTTTTGCATTATAAAAGGAAAATACAAGTTAACAGGCATAAAAATGACATGTTCTCAGCTACACTGAACACATCTTGTCAAACTCTTCCAATGACCTTGCGTCTCAAAGTCTGGCAGCAAATGCAGAGACACATTTACTCTGGTACACACCCAACCATACCTACACAGCAGCACATCAGACATCCAAATATAGCAGAACACAACACAACACAACAGACCACTCTCTAACATCCTCTGAAGGAAGTGGAAGCAAGAGACTCCTGTGCAAGTCAAAGAAGGAAATATAATCAGAAACTATGTCTAATAGGACAACCACTTCCCATCTGATGAGGCGTCATAAAAAGAGAAAGTCTGACCAAAACTAGGCTTGGAACGAAACTGCAGAGGTTGATGCTATGGCAGAAACCACATGGAGCCAAATCTCAAAACCAGGGTATGAGACATAATGCAACATTTGCAAGGCATCCATAAGGAAAGGAACTGCTCTGAGACAACCAGCTGTCATCCTTCTAGAGCCCCAGTAAGTTATCACAGAAACACACTGGGAGAGACAAAAAGCACAGTTGTTCTCTTGATTGTGATTTACTTGACTTTTTCCTTGACTAACCAATACAGACACGTGCTCCTAGTAAAGACAGTTGAGTACTATGAGTGAGCTTCGTCCACTTAACCCAAGCAAAAAGCTCATATTCACAAACAGCTGCAGGATCTCCACAGCAACCTGGCACTTCTGTCTCACACTTACGGAACGAAGTCTGCACAGCCACCATTTACTGGGAGTGACAGCAGCAGATTATGTGTCTGTCCTGACCACAAGGAAACACCAGGAAGGACCACAGAAAGGAAAAGCAGGGATGTGGGGGAGGATGAATGTACTGCTGGTTTCTTTTTTCCTAGTACCTTGCCCTCAAGACTTCAGCATCTGTCTTGTAAGGGATTCATGTCCACCTGACAGGACATGACAAGACACTTCGATGTGTCTCTAGAAGCTTGCTAGCTTTGTGGAACGATCTGTTCAGGTGAGACAGTGACCAACATGACTCAAGTACCCAATGCAGTACCCTACTTCTGCCATGTTAACCACCCCCTAACCAGGCACTGAAGAACAAGCACAATGCTTCCTTAAATGACTCTACACAAGTGAGTTAAGCTGCAGCTGGGTTCATTAGCTACAGCTCCATACCTATAGTATCCAAACTACTCCAAATGCATTCACACATTCTCCTGGGTATTTTTAAGATGGCTTTGCTTGGAAAACAAGCTTCTGTCCTGTCAAGTTCTCCTGTGCATTAACTCTGAAAAATACTTTTACAACAGCACAGCCAGTGCTGGAACATCTGAAACAAATTATACCCCTGAAGCTTTGACAATTAGATTAGCATGAATACATACTTCTAAAATATTGTAAATACTCATAAAACACTTTTTAAAAAGTCAGAAGTACTTTCTGGATATTTGACATACTTAATAGTGCAAGTCAAATGAAGCTATCTAATCCACATTACACTGTACAGAGGAATTCACGCAGCACAGCCAGCTCTGCCTTGACTGATAACCACCAAAACATTACTTTAGCCAACGTGGCTGCATCAGCTTTTTGAGATAAGATGAAAGTGACCATCAGTTGGACAATTACCCAGGTCAGCTTGAAGCAGTCTAGATTACTCATTAGCTGATAATTTCCTGATGATCTTCATTATAAAGCAGCCACAGGAAATGCCTCACCCATAACATAATTCAAATGTGGGAGAGGAAGAATCCATCGCCAGACTAGACAAGTTTAAGTAATTTCTTCTATTTTGGCAGTAGATTGAGGAGCTGTTTTCTTTAAGGAGATGATCTAGTACAGACTAGACTAACCCACAAATTACTATTCCCATTCTTGCCCAGTGGATCAAGAACATACAGCAGCACATCTTGTGATCTATTCAATATTTGATAGAAATACTAAAATCTATGCAGATCCATGCATGATAGTGATACGTGCCAAATACAAAATTTGGATATTGTTACACTTGTCCATTGCATGATGCCTTGAGAATTGGCGCAAAAAAAGGTATGTGTTCCCAATCAGAATATGTATTGGCCATTCTGCATAAATACCTCTAAATTTTGTGAAGGACACTACCTTAAAGGAAAAGAAAACCATCAACAACTACATATTGCGAGAGAAGACTTTCAATGAATAAAATAATAAATTATTTTTTAAAAGTCACTATTATCTAGATCAGAGAGCTATGATGTTTATTAACAGAAGGCTATTTTAAAACATCTTCAGAATGTGAAACGCCGACATTTTTCAAATGAAGGACCATCTCCTGAAATTGAAACATGTCCCTGATCAGAAAAGAAAAACAGGAGAGATGGTGATCAAACTCCAACCTCTCCAACAAGACCAACAAGAGGAAAAAACCAACAAAAAAACCTCAACTTCTCCACAACCCTCTCCCTACAGTTTCTACCTATTCAAAGATGGAATGAAGTACTCTTTCAGCTGAACATTTATTCACCCTTATGTAGGATTATAACGCCAAACCTGTTGCAAGCAGATCTAATTGATCTGCACAGACAAAAGATTAATTAAACAATGATCTGATGAGCTTTAACTTCGTCCTTCTAATATGCAATGACTTAAAAGTATAATAAAAGTCAACTCTCTTAACCAGTAGATCAACATTAGACTAAAGAGCCTTCCGCTTCCAATTCATGAATATTTAAACACAGATAAATAAAGTCACCCTGCAAGTTCATATAAAAAAAAAGCACCAATTAAAAAAAATTTGCATTGGAAAGTTCACATAACTTCTTTATACAAACAAAGTATTTTCCCTATTTCTTCTTATTTATTAAAATGCAAGTTTCATTATATCATTTACGTAGTCTGAGGACAAAAATAACAAGTCTAAAACCGTATATAGTTGGAAGAGTACTCTATGTTCCTAGGACAATTAATTTTTCAAATAAAATTTTATCTTCCTATCCTACCAGCCTTATCATTACGTCTGTAAAACAAGAGAGCACCTGAGAACTACTTTAGTGTGACATTACCTTCAAAGCAACAAAAAATAAAGGCCATCTCCTGGAATCTAGGAGATCAACAGACCATTTGATGTTGTCACATCAGTGGGAATCATTTAGAGACACAGACGCTTCCTAGAAGCAATGACTGGTGGGATAATGAAATACTGTTTTTTAATCAATCCAAGCAGAGCACGGCACAGCACCAACATCGATCCATCCACACTTCTCTCATTTGGGACACCCATGGTCATACGGACATCAGCCTTGAACCCCTAAATTCATTCGGAATTAGCGTTTGCATTAGGGATCCAGTTCTTCTAGCCATAGAGCACACAGCTCCAAGGACAATGGGGCTGGAAATGGCAAGCCAAGGGGAGCAAGGCACAGCACCAATATTGATCCTTCTATAATTTACTAATCTGGGCAGCAGTGAGAATGCAGATGGGAGACCAAACACAAATCTGATAATAGATTTAAGCTTAGGGTTCAGGTTCAGAGATCTACAAAGCCCCCAGCTCCAAGGACTACTGGGATGCAGAAGGCAGGCCAAGAGGAGCACAGCACTGCATCAACATTGATCCTTCCATAATTTTCATATCTAACCAGCAGGGGAACGCAGACCAGAGACCCAATGGAAAAATGATAATAGCTTCAAGCTTAGGATTAAGGTTCAGAGATCTACAAAGCCCCCAGTACCAATGACTATTGGGATGCAAAAGGCAGGCCAAGGGGAGCACAGCACTGCACGAATATTGGTTCCTAGAGAACTATCTAATGTGGGCACCACTCATGGGGCTGGAGTCCTCAGCCTTTAAAATAAGTCTGCAACGACGATTTTGTTTAGGGTTAAGTTTCAGAGATCTACAGCTCCCAGCTCCAAGGACAATTTGGATGTAAAAGGCAAGCCAAGTGGAACACGGCACTGTGCCAACATTGCTCTGCCCACACCTCATTTGGGACACCCATGGCCATAGAGATGGCAGCCTGAACCCCTAAATTCCTTCAAAAGTAGCATTCATCATATGGTTACGGTCCAAAGACCCATAAAGCCTACAGCTCCAGGGACAGGTACTTCTGTTAGGAAAACTATTTTTATCTACTCTCTTGCTCTCCACTGTAGTATGCAGACTGCATGTTCTTCAATATTCCATTACAGCACAAATGTCTAATACTTGAGCAGTCCTTGGTTCCTCTGTATACTTTTAAAATGGTGTAAGTTGGAAGCCAAACAAAGATCTTTCTAAATCGATGCATAAGATTCACCAACGCATATCCCTGCAGTTGCTGCATTCTGAAGTTAACGTCCTTAAAAAATCTCTTGGATTTTTTCTAATGTAGTTGCTGGCCCCTCCATCTGAGTCTACAGCACCAGCCACTCTGATAGGCCACAAATCCACATTTTATGCAGAGAAAATAGGTCATCTTCTCTCAGTGTGCTTCTAAAGCTCTTTCCACCCGTGTTAAACTTTCTTTTAAGTTCTGCTGGTTTTCTAAGGCCAGGCATGTCTAAGAGTTAGTAAAATGAAAAAAGAAGCCAATGAAAACTCAGTCTTGGCAACAAAGCCAATTGGATTTGTCCAGCTTTTCTCTCAAATCTCAGTAGGTTAGTTCACGGTAGGACTAAAACCAAATCAAATTTAGATTTACCGTAAAAATAAGCCAAATACAATAGGACAGTACAAATTAAAGTTGCCATACCTCAAGACCCTGCAATTTAGTTCCATTTTCTGTGTCTTTCAAGAGTTCAGTTAGCCTTTTCCTTTCTCTCTCAAGCATAACAATCTGGTTTCCTGAATCTTTTGCTAGCTGAAATATTTCCAAAAAGAAAAAAAATTAAACAATCTTTAGAACTCCATTAGCTCAAACAACACCAAAACAAAGTTTATAAACTCTGTGACATCCAAATCTTGCTTACTGCCATAACAGAAATTATCACTCTGGCAGAAAAATCTAGCAGCCCACATAATAGATAACCTTTTAACATTCTTTGACATAGCAAGGGGGTGTATTTTTTTCATTGGTTAAAAAAATAGTAATAGCTACTAGTTCTTAAAACAAACAAACAAACAAAACCATGAAAATCAAGGCATATGTCTTCTGACAGACAGAAATCTTCTGAAAATAAGGGTACCATGCAGACACCCAGTATAGCTATTCCTTATCTATGCATAAGGACATCTTCCTTTAGCTTAATACTAAATACATTTTAAGACAGTCTTAGGAAATATTTGTCCTCCAAACAAGCTGCATCCAGGCACAAACAAAATAATTCCGTTTCCAGTACTCTTTAACATGGAAACAGTATTATCCCCACCAGTATAAGCATCCAAAATTAGAACTATCTTACACAGTACTCTGCCATAAACACTTGTTAAAAGCAGGCTTTTTTCATTTCTGCCTAATTAGATTTTATTATTCCTGATGAAAACTCCAACTGTCTCCAGAAGTACTTATATACTGTCTTTATGCTGAGTTACCAAAATGTTAGTGATTTGATGTTTTAACACTTACCTCAATGTTCTTTTTAATGAAATTTTGATTGTTTTTACTTTTGCCATACGTTTTTTCTGCTTGATTAAGGAATTCACTTGTTTCTAATTCAGTTGTATCATGTGAAGCTTGAATCAGAAAAAGAATGATCATAAATTATTAACTTTTCTTCCTCAATAAGGTCTATAGTAACAGTAGCCCCCTTTAAATCTTTAACGTATAAAGTGGAGTGGCAAACTTCTTATATGTCGTTTTCATTATTTATATAAAACTATACTGCAATGTTTAAAACATAACTATTGTCAAAATCCAACCTCATTTTTAAGCTTTTATTATATGAGATCATTCAATCTTGCAAAGGCTAAAATACTTCTGGATTTCTGACCTCAAAAATGTTAAACATGGTGGCTTTAAAAGCCACAGCATTCCTTTGAACCCTATCACTGTTTCAGTTTTATCATCGGTACAAAACCAGACAATAATTTTTTTGAAAACCACAGAACTATTTGGAGATGTATCAAGTACATTTTTTAAAATAAAACAGCTGAAGAACAGATGATATAGTTGATATAATACAGCTTATAAAACAAATTTGGTTAAAAATAAAACTCATCATAGGGATGTAAAGCTATTAAACACTCACACCATATTCTCACGACATCACACATTTATTTTTTTTCAACAATGGGTTTCTATCCATCATACAAAGATGGGTACATTAGTCTGGTTTTCAGAGACTTTTACCAGTTTTGAAACAGCAATTCCTTTATGAACAGCAAATCTCTATCACATTAAATAACAAGCCTAAGCAAATACAACTAACTTCTAAGTCTCAAAAATTACTTCAAAAGCAGGCATGGCACTTCTTGCTTTTCTGGAAAGTAGAGATTTGAAACATGGGTGGGCTGTTTGCCTACAAAAAAAAACCCCACCCAACTTGACTTGTTAGATGATAGAAGACAGGCTATGGAAGTTCACATGGAAAGAACGCTTTTTCAAAGTGAGCAGACTGAAACTAAACTCCCAAATATATTAACTAAATTCCATACATTCTTTTACACACTATAGACAAAAAAAATCACCAGACTTAATCCTGTCGTGGTTCAAGCCCTTGCTTAGGTAACAACGAAGAACCACATGGTCTTTTGCTCACTCCTCCCCCACTCCCATCTCCACAGCAATGCGGAGGGAGAAAATTCAACTAAAATGGCTCAAGGTTTGAGATTAAAGACAGTGAGGATAATAACCTACCACTTAAGACGACGGGTAAAAACCGAGTAGACGTGGGGAGGAAACAAGTTTACCACCACATTTACAGGGCAGGATAGTGAGAGGAATACATAAATAAACACAACCAAATCTTAAATACACTTCTCCTGCACCCCTCCCATCTTCCCAACTTCCTCCTCTCCCCCCGACCAGTGCAAGGTGGATTGGCAGAGGGTGGGGAGTGTCATCCATCTGGCCGTTTCTCATAGTCCAGGGCAGTTCCTAATACTTGAGATACTCCTCGCAGTCTCCCCTTCATGCCACATGGTGTCCACCTGATGGGAAGCAATCCTCTTCGTCCTCGTGAGTCCATCCCAATTGGGGTCACAGATTGCTTCAGGCACATCCTCCATTGATGCTCATATCTCTGCCCTCTGCCATGGGGTTCTCCTGTACCATCGCATCCTGGACGCTCTCGCCATCGTCGACCTCCTCAGCTCACAGGCAATCATCTTCCTGACATCTCAACCACCATGGGGCTCCAGGGAAAGTTTCTACTCTGGCACTCTTCTCAAACCCATAACAACTCCCAACCTGCAGGTAAACCTTAAAGGACTGAGATGTTGCATCTGACCAAGAACGACCTGTCACAGTTCAAATGCACAACTGTTTACTGAAAACTCCCGAACTATCTTTAATATCCCCAGGTAACATCCTGAATCTATGAAGGTATTGAATCATGTAAGAATTTACCAATGAATATAAACATGACAAGTTGTATCCTGAAAAGAACAAAACAAACCAAGCACCAATATAACATACAACATATGACACACTACTTCTAAGTTACATCTTTCTCTAACTGTAGAGTAAATGTTTTTGAGAAGGAGCTGTCATGCAGAACATCTCAGGACATTCAAGTAGAGAAGGGCCAGAGACAGATCACTAGGACAAAGAATTGCTTAAGATTGCCAAAGGTAACTAGAAGAGAGACTGCAACTCAACAAGTTTTGCATACATGTTTCCATAGATTTGATAATAATCTTGATGAGATTTTTGAAGTATTATACATAATACATACATTCTTCTTCACAAGTTAAGCTTCTCTTGTTCAAGGTCTGCCTTTATAACAGCTGTTACACAGAAATCCAAAAGCAACGAAAACAAGAAGTCTTAGCTACTCAGAAACCATATCAAAAGCCTCCAGCAGAAACAGTAAGTCATTTAATTTATTGCTCCCAAGTTGTAAGTGTTCTCTATTTCATATGTTCCAAAACAGGGAGAATGTAGAACATCTCAAAATAGTGCAAGCAATAGCAACTCCCAACCATGCCTGTCCTGGAAGCTTCAGAAGTCACTGATGTCCTGAATACTGGTAATGAAACCTGCCACTGCTATTCACAGAATGTCAGGGGCTGGAAAGGACCTCAGAAGATCATCTAGTCCAACCCCCTGCCAGAGCAGGATCACCTAGAATACGCCACACAGGAACACGTCCAGGTGGCCGTTGAATGTCTCCAGAGAAGGAGACTCCACAACCTCCCTGGGCAGCCTGTGCCAGTGCTCTGTCACCCTCACAGTGAAAAAGTTTTTCCTAATGTTTTTGTGGAACCTCCTATGCTCGAGCTTGGACCCATTGCCCCTTGTCCTGTCATTTGACAACACTGAGAAGAGCCTGGCTCCATCCTCCTGACACTCACCCTTTACATATTTATCAACACTAATAAGGTCACCCCTCAGTCTCCTCCAAGCTGAAGAGGCTCAGCTTACTCAGCCTTTCCTCTTAAGCGAGATGTTCCACTCCCTTTATCATCATTCAGCACAACTCAGAAACCATGAACGTGGAAGCTAAGGATCAAACTTCACCTTAAGGGAGGAAGACATGATAGGAAGACAGAGAAATCAAAAGCACAGCACTGCTCAACCCACTGTGAAGAAATATTTAATAACAAAGTTAAAGTCACATATTGGTGGACCAAGACGAGCGATAAAGGGAGCTGAGGTCCAGGTTTAAAAATTAAAGTACACAGTCACGTTCTAAAAAGCACAGATTCTGCTCCCATCAATAGTTCAACCTTGAAGAAGACCTATTTATCACATTCTTTTCATCTAAGTCAGTCACCAGAAAGATAGATTCCTTCTGTTTACACAGAATGTTGATGACAAAGAAATAAACCACTGCAGCTGATAGCAATGGCAGCTGAAGCTATTCTTCTTATGTCACAACACATGTGAGAAGTTACTCAACCATACAAATTTGAATTTCAAATAGGAAAAGAACAGAGGCACAAAACCACAATTCCAATTACTTTGAGTGCACATAAACTCATGGTGTCTAAAAGAATCAGCACAGATGTTTGACTTTTGCCAGAAAGTATTTGATCCATAAAAGCAATGCAGCCTTTACAGTTGTCAGTGTAACAAAATATAAAACCAGTTGTCTGAAGATTTAGGTTTGTCACAACATCTATACAATTTCTCCAGGAAAAAAAACAAAAACAAACAGAACAGTTGCAGCTGTATACAGCATCACTCTTCATTTTTAGATAGTTTCTTGAATATAACCCTATTGATGAAAATCTACCTTAGAATAACAGAGAAGTTTTTAAAGAATTTTCCTGAAGACTTAATGACATATTTTACAGTGAAAGAAAAAAAGTTTTATGAACTCAAAAGTAAAAGTTTCCTTAACATGTTGAGTAAAATGTTTTAGGTAAGTCACAAACCAAATTATTCTTTCTTACAATTTTTCAAAAACATAAGAATTGTCACCACTCCAGTAAGCCCCCTTGCTTTTTCTGATCTGACTAGCCTAGCCACAAAGGCCAAGTCTTCATTACACACTCATTGTACATGCCATTTTGCCATATCTAGAAATATGAACTATAAAAGTAATAAAGCTTACCGTGCCCATGTTGGGTCTTACAGCAATCATAATCTTCTGGATTAATCTGTGTCTGAAATACTGAAGTGTATGTTTCATTTTCTTTAGCATGGGAATGATCTGCAAGTGATTTATTCAGCAAAACTTAATTCAAATGTATTTAAAGATCTAGTTTCATGCGTATCATACTATAAGATCTCACACATGGAAGTTAAAGGAATTTACTTGGATAAATTACATAACCACCATATTTCTCAAGAAATAAAGAAAGAGGAGAAGTCTAAGGTGTGCCTCATTCATAATTATGCTGCAAGGTTGTTTCAGTTACTCAAAGAAAAAAACTGAATAACAGTATTAACATATATCAAGTAAAAGTATAAGTTAGAGCATTAATTTGCATTACTTAGCATTTACAGAAAAGGACTTGTGTTGTAAATAACCCTATATATCACATATGGAAAATATGGGTTTCATAATGAATAAAACCACCAGTTTCTTCTAACAATGAAGTTTAATGGACACAACCAAAGGTACGATTTTGTTACACAAAGCACAGGTGAATAAAATCAAGGCACTTTGACTCCTGATTAACATTGCTGCTATGACTGCGTCAGAGGTTTCTTTGTGCCTGAGAGGCTGGGACATGTATGTCATTTACGATTTTGCACCCAGAACTTGTGTTTGATTTCACAGCCACATTAAAAGCTGTAATTAAATAGCCCCCCTATATACGTTATTTATTAAAGCTCTTTTATCAAATTCAAGCTCCGAAAACCACAACATACTAATAGCCTTTCATTCAGTCTCAGCCAGGGCACTTATCAAGGCACTCATTTAAATAAATAAGACCTGAAAAGTAGGGCACTAGCACATCACAGAAAAGTCACAGAAAATTCAAGATAAAGATCAAGCTGGAGGAAAAAATATAAATCCAAACTACACTGAGTTTTGCCAGCACAGTCCACCAGAACCCATATGATGCGCATGATCCCCAGAGCAGGGAATTACCTTGGAAATAAGAGCAATTGAAGCACGGAGTTCATTAGCAACCATGTAATTTCGCTTGCCCACTGTTCTTTTACTATATCCTGACATCTGCTGGACACTTCTCAAATATCACTCTCATCAAATTCTTGCCTTAATAACCCAAACTTTAGCATGAAAATAAAAGGTTACCTTGTAAGAATAAAATCTGTTGAAATGCTTTAACCACGTATTGCTACTATTATTATGCACATACTTAGAATATTGAAGCTTGATATTTTTGCTCAGCAATAACCATTCAGATTTCAAATCTTTGTTCATTGCCCAATGAGAAAAAAAGACAGGATACACCACAATTCTTTCTTTCAACCAAAGTACACAGACAAAGGACAGGAAAAATGCATGTGATTGACACACATTAGAGAACTCCAGCGCTGAGACAGGTATTCAAACAGCAAATTTTTAAAACCCACTCTCAAGCAGTTTTGACATGCTGTATTCTTGACAAATTCAGTCTGGTTTTGTTCCCTCTGCCCCCTCAGTAAAGACGTTGTGAGAACAACGCTACAGCTTGTTCCAGTGTCTCCCCCATTAAGAGCCCAGCCGTAGGGGAGAAAAGAAACAACCAACCAAAAAAATTTTTAAATACCTAGTGTTTTCTTTTTCCAGGTGTCTGCAAGCATGCACATCCTTTGTGTGTTCTTGAAGAAAACTGCCAGAAACTACTTGAGAATGTGCTTTCACCACTTGCTTTAGCACTCCAACAGAATTGTGTCCCTCTCATACAATAGAAAAAAATTTCTATACAGTTTGAACTTTCCTTTCCCTATTCTACCTATTTTTACATTATTAGTATTCACTATTTTGATATTACTCTTTTGTTATGTATCACATTCCACATTTCTCTATCATTTGACTGTTTGTTTACCTTTCCTGTTGAAGAACTCAGTCCTTCATTAGTCATTTCTCTCCTTTTAATGCAGCTATAGAATTTGATGGTTTAAGTTCTACTTAAAATGCAAGTAATTCTTATCAGAAGACTAAAATGCAATCATTCAGTCTTTTGCTGTGTTCATTTCCACTTTGGATAATTTTGACTTCATTGTCATATCATGACGAAACTCAGAAATTATCAGACTTCCTGGTCTTTTCTTCTTGAGAATAGTCTGCTAGCATATATTTCACATAGTTTCACTTTTAAAAACTGCCATCTATGCTAAATATTCTTCCCTAGGACTCTCACGACATTTGCTGATTAAAAAACCCACCACCTAAGCTCATGTTTCATATTCATGCCTTTTCCTTAGAATCACACTCTATATTACTTGATAATCCCTTTTATTCTCACATTCAGAATCTGAACTTCTTTTAGAAGAGAATTAAACATAATTTAATCAAGTATAAAATTTAATGTAAATGAGTCATACCCCATTTAGACCATGTTCCAAGCCCTGGGCTGCACATGCATCTTCCCGTACTGTTTCCTAACATATAACTCAGTAGTATTATAATTTGGTCCCGTTATTTTGGTTCTTCCGACAACAGTGCCTAAAAAGCTCAGGACTTCCCTCTCTCTGGGCCTGCCATAATACAATATCCTTACCGTGGCATTGCCATTGCTTCCTTCTCACTCTACTACTCCCACATGAACGTTTTTTCCAAGATATTTATGTGGCAGGGCCAACATCCCTAGAGCTTCTAAAGTAACATTTTTAGGCCTAGTATTTTTTAGCTGCCTGTCTTTCCCACACCAAATACTCCAGCCTGACAAACTCTAAGACCAACAGTAACTACACATCAGTAACATCATCTTTTTGTTTGTTTACTAAAGCAATTTTTAATTCCTTGTTTATTGCCCAGGTGTTTCAAAATGGTAGAGACATCCAAGCTTTTCGGTAGGTTTCCACCCTTCATTTTCCCTATACCTGTTATCTTTAATTTACCAGTGTCATCAGTCATTCATTCTTTCTGAAATCATCTGTTGACCATCAAATTGAAAAATGCAAGCTTTACTTATCCTGGATTTCAGCCCTTCTAGAACAGCCAGTTCTTCGGGGGAAAAAAAAAAAAAAGCAGTTTCTATTGAAAAATCTAATGTTAAAGTACAACTTCTACATCTGTAATCATGCAAAAATTATTGCAGTTAATGTTTCAAATATTCCCTTCATGTTCTTTTAAAAACAAATATTTTATTGTAAAGGTTTGAAAGCTATTATTTTTATAGTATCAAAAAATATGAATCTTTATCAAGATAATTATGTCAGGGTATTTACTTCTCTTTCTTACTTACCAGCTGTATCTTGCCCTGATGAGATCAAAGCTAAAAAATGTTTCGTGTTTTCTGTTTCCTCATGGCTTCCAGTGGTTCTGATAGTCTATTCAAAAGAAATAACAGCATAAATATACAGATACATGCACATATAAAATATATATAACATATTTAGGGGGCCAGTTAGCTCAGTCAATTGAGCATGGCACTGACGGTGCCAAGGCCATGGGTTCGATTCCCGTTCCGTCCTCATGTGTTGCCTGATCTAGTCAACAGGTGGCGTCCCTTGCGACAGGGAGGCTGGATTAAAATCATCTCTAAGGTCCCTTCCAGCCTAGGCCATTCTATGATTCTCTATATATATCTGTGAATCCAAACCCATTGAAAATAAGAGATGCAGTCAAACCAGCTGCAATCACATCTTTTTAGCAACTGACATTTGTATTCAAGTAAATTATACAATACTTAACGTCAGAAGAAATTCTAACTCCCACCTTTCAAGTCTTAAGCGACATTTAACTGCTAGAGACCATGATAAGAATAATGTGAAGGAATTCATGTTGTAGCGTTCTTTGCCCTTCTTCAAGAGGCATCTCCAATTTCTTCAATAAAGGACAGTACTAAAATAGATGGGCCTCAGAACAGTTACACTAGAGCAAAATAAACACTTTTAGGTCTGAATTCAGACATCAGCTCTTGCTGTGCCTTACCACACCTGCAAATAGCAAGCTCAAGCACGAGACTATGCTAGAAAACCACACACAGACAGCTGAATATCTGGCTATCAGTCCTGTCAATTTTTAAGCACCAGGACCTTCTTTCAAAGTCAGTCTAGCCAACATATATTAAAACCTATTCAAAGTGAAGTACAGAAATGCATCGTATAACATAGATCAGCCAACTGTGAGTTATTTAATAAAACAACGCATGTGTGAAAAATGATAATTCTGTAAGACAGTACTCTAAGATGTGCTTTTTACAAAATAGCAGAACACTTCTAACCTGAAGCTCTTCCCAGAGCTTTGCCCTCATTTCTTTGCCTTGCCTTTTAATTGTTCTCTCCTTAAAATGTTTTTTTGCCAGTATTTTGTCAAGTCTATTCATTTTTTGTACAGCTTCTTGAATCTGAGGATCTACAGCTGCTTCTTCAGAACATTCCAAGTTTGAAGAATTTGCTGGAAAACATATTTAAAATTAATGCTAGCTTGAAGCATTTCCACTTCAAACAAACAAACAAAAAAAACTCACATCCCACAACTAAAAAGCAGTACAAGTAATTTGACAGCAACCATAAACAAGAGTAGAATTATTCTCAAGCATATGTATCATGTTTATTTCTAAACTTGGTTGTAAAAAAGGAAAATATATGTCTTATTAACACAACACTGAATCAAACTCTGAGCTGTAGCAGTTGGTTTCAGGGGGTGAGGGAGGAGGTACCCCCACAATTTGGGCAAATGAGTGGATTTAAATTTATAATGGAAGAGTGACAACATCTCCATAGTATCAGCAAAAAAAAAAAAATCACACATAAAATAAGCTTAAAAAACCCCAAAGCACCGAAATAATTTCTTCAGCCTGACTAGTAGAGCACATGATGAAATGTGTATTAAAATAATTCTGGGGTTAAGAGAGACTCTGTAATGCCTCTACTTTCAAATATTACAGGTGTTTCAGTCTAGACTTACACCTCAGTCAAACTAGACTCTGATACTGATCCTAGAAAAAGGTTGCTTTGAAAAAACCAAACAGTGAAACATTACAGAAACTACCATTACTCTCCAGTGTGGTTTGCTGATCTGTTACGACTTCTTTGACATCAGATTTCTCTCTGTCATCACCTTTGCTTCCCTCTGGACAGCAGTCTTCTAGACTGGCCCTTTGATGACTACCAGTCAAACTGACAGCTGAATCAACCTATGAAATGCAAATTACTTAGTATCATAAATACAGAAATCTTCGCAGGAAAGAGAGAACCACAACAATCACATGCTATCACAAAGGCAAACAGCGATTCTATACAAGACTGCAGAGCACTTAAATAAAATAACTATTTTCAGATCCGATACAGAGTTCTGTTTCTTAGCTATCACATGGATTTCTCAAGCTCCTCATTCCACACACCTGCTAGATTTGGGACTACCAGGCTAGAAAATTATTCCAAAGATTTATGCCATTTCTGCTGCAGCAGAGGGTACGGCCAAGCAGTTAAGAATCTGCGTATACAACAGCCTCACGCATTTCCTGACACTGTGGATTCTCTGTGCCAGGGAGCATCCCAATCTTTTGCTCATGCTACAGAGCTTTTCAAAGCTTTTGGAAGGCTGCAAAACTTATGCTTAATTCATCAATCACAAGAGACTGCAATTTTCATGCAATAGCCTATGATGTTTAGGCCAGAACATGGATTCTGAGTTATTTGATGTTAACCTTTATACCCAAAAATAAAAATTAATTAACATTTCTGTGAAACATCTAGGTATGATCCCATTCTGGACAGGTGAAGAGAGGTAGAGTACGATTGGACTAATCTAAGTAAAACAATCAAAATCTCTAATTCCCAAGTCCTGGTTCCTACAATCCAACAACCATATCATATAACCTGTTCCCAAAATTAAGTTACCCCCTGATATTTACTTTCTTAAATGACAGATAAATGCCTACTCCCAATAGACTTTTTTAAATCCCTGAAGCCGACGTATTTCTTGAAATATTATGATTTTTTAAAAAACTTCATTTTAACACATGCTGAGAGAGCCTTGTAGTCAAAAATTCAACTTGTGAGCGTTACTCAAATGCTCTCTTCTAACAAACAAAATAATTGTTATTCAAATTTAAAAGCATAAATGGGATGGAAGTGAAATTATGCACCATGCTGGCTCACGCACCAACAATCTATAGCTGTGCACATACACATTTTTTACCAGAATTTCAAATATTTTTCCTTAAGTTCAAATTTATTTAATAACATGACTAACTATAAAGAGGAAGGCAACCAAGTTTTCCAGGTTGCAGTGCTGAGTAGTCCTTTTCGGGGCAAATACAAAAGTAATACAGATTCAGAAAAATGAAATTAAACATCATTCCACGCATGCGTAAGAAGCAGCTCACACTCATCAACTTTCTCATAACCCCTCGGGCACAACTGCAGAGTCCAGAACTCTGCATGAAGCTAAAAAAGCAGACTCTTATTTCTTTGGCATTCTACTAAGAAGAATCATGCACACAGCTTCTGACCTGCTGAAGGTGAAAAGAATTACCTTTGGCAAACATGGCTCTGGTGGTAATAACTCCATAGACATATTTAGAGATCTACTTTTAGGATAAGCTCTTGAGCTAGACGCAGATCCTGAATTTTTATCCAAGCTGCACCTTGTATTATCCATTGTTACCTAAAACTGGGAAAAAAATAAGTCAAAAGCAACCTTACAAACTACCAGCTTCGTAATAAAGCAACACGAGCCCCATAATATTTCAGATGTAAAAAAAAGTTTCAAATCCTAACAATTCCATGTTGCAAGGTCTTTCCAGTATAGACTAGCTTGCCACTCAAATACATACTTTTTAATATTTGTACAAACTGACAAATATATCAAGCCAACCAAAATATTCAAATGTGATTACCGCAAAAGAAACTTCAACTGGCTTCAATCTTAAAAGTAATCTCACAAGAAAGGAAATGTCATGGCTTTTTAAAAAACAACAACAAAAAAAGCAAAAAACCAAACTCCAACACAGCAGGGGGGTTAAAAAATTTAGCATTAACAAACAAACGCAGGTGTTTTTTAGACTTTTTGAACATATGAAACAAAGCAACGAAATGCTTTTTTTATTTGGTAGCTAAATGGGAAGATTTCCCAAATCTAAATGACCACATTCCCAGTTCCAATGTCACTTTGAGTTTAAACAACATCAGTGCGTGATTTTTGGAAGGAAAAAAAAGAAAAAACAAAAAAATCTACATGTGAATTCACGGGTGAAGCCGCAGTTTTAGTTGGAGCCATAGTTATAGCCAGAACTGTAGTTTTAGCTGGTATGTCAACTTAACATGCTTGAACATGTCCCATGGGCAGGGACGCCTCTCAACTAGATCA